GTGGCAATCTTAAATGTAATGTTTTTTTATTAACATGGCAAATTATAGTTATCATATTTTTGTTTATTCTCATAACCAACAAGTTCGTTTCACCTCTAAAATTATTAATTTCTTGTTAAGAGGATCTATTATCTCCAAAGAAGTATCTTACCTGCACATAGAAAGTTCGAGACGATGTTACAATTTCAAAGAGGTTGTCCCTCATCATTATGTCACTGTTAACAAAAAAATTCCCAATTGTACTTAAATAGCAATTGTTTGATATTTTTTCTTTCATTTATCTACTCAACACCAAATATGTGTCAATAAAAAAATAAACATCAGAGTTAAAACACTGATATAATTTAACAAACCTGAATCATCTTTTTCAATTCATTTTTGCATTAAATTTTACTTATTTTATGTAGTTATATATATATTTTTAGGAAAGGGTCATAAAACGACGTTAAAAGTCAAAGTTTTCAACTGTGAAGAAATCAGTTTGCTCAAAGAAACACGGGCACAGTTAACATATTTTCTTACAAAGCTCTATTCTGCAGCAACCCTGAAATACTAAAATTACTAATACATCGATTTGTCAAATATGACTAAAGCTGTTCATATTAAAGTTTTTCATTTCCACTATTTCCTAATTTTTAGTTCTCAAACATCTCAACACTTTCATCTGAGGGTTTTAAAAGTTCTTGCATATCCAACTATTCAGAGTTAAAAATAACTAGAAGTCATACAGAAAAATACCATCTGTAAGCACGTCAACCAAACTACAGCTCCACTGGGCACTAACACGCAACATGGTAACACACGAGGCGGGGCCAGCACTTACCTCTGCTTGCATTCCTGGACCTTGTGAACCTCCTTAAGTGGTATTACACGGAGAGGTTCCTTTTCCTGACCCCCCACCAAAAAAAAACAAACGAACATGTATGAGATATATTCTTAAAATCCTTTTAAGGGTTAGTTGTCTTATTTGGAGATCTATGTGAAAACTATGCTTCTTTCTTGAAGGACATCTAAGACATAATCTACCTTCTTGAACTATCCAGCATCAGAACAGCTGAAATATCATAATCTTGTGCACATTATGGTTTGAAACAAGAAAACTGGCATATAACCCATATTTACATTATTTCTGGCCTTAACGACAGCGTAGCTATGAAAAGCCATTCACTATCAGACCTTTCCCCAAGGAAGCCCTACGCACCAGGAGAGGAACACTTCTGGAATGTTATTTTGATAAAGAAAGCACAGGAGTAGTGAATACCCAGACTTCTTTAAATTCGTCATTTTAAGACTGTTAGTTTTATATGAACACATTATTTTAACAAGCACCATTTACTGAACATTTACTAAGTGCCAAGACATCCCCCAGATTTTAAATGTATCTCGTTTAAACTTTCCAAAAACCCTACAATGCATGCGCTGTTATTCACCTGGGGAAACTGAGGATTAGACATGCTGAAGACCTCACCTAAGGTTACAAACTAGATCAAAGATGTAAATATAAGAGATAAATAGTTCCTAATAGCATAACATTTATACTATACATTCCACAAAACACTATATACTGTATTTCACTGAACAGGATACCACGAGACTAAGACATACCATTACTTTATATAGCACTAAGAAAAAAATTGAACCATGGCTGATCACTTGTTAAAAAACCACGATTCTTTCAAGTTTTATAAAAGTTTATTTTAAAATAATTTCAGACTGTAAAAGACTTAACAGAATACCCACACCGTTTTCCAAGATGTTAGTATTTCTCATTTTTTAAAACCATTCTGTCTGTGTACATATATATGAATATATGTATATGTATTTTTCCTGAAATGTTTGAAGGCAAGTTGTCCATACAATACACCTGTACTACTAAATACTTCAGTGTGTATTTCCTAAAACAAAATATTGTCTTACATGACCAGGACACAATTATGAAAATCAAAAACTCCACAGGTGATGCAACACCATTATCCATCCTACGCACCGTACTCAGATTTCATTCACTGCCCCACGTTTTCAGCAAAAGAAAAACTATGCTTTCTGATGCGGGGTCCAATCCCGAGCCACACCTTCCACTTCACGGTTGTCCCAGTCCCCTTCGCAGGGGACGGCTCTTCGGGTCCTTCTTGGCCTTGACAGTTTTCAAAAGCCAGGCCAGTCATTCTGGACACTGTCCTGCACTTGGGTCTGTCTGGCAGGAAGCCACAGAAGCGAGGTCGGCTTTCCTCGCACGTCACTCAGGGGGCGCGTGACAGTGGTCTGTC